CCGCTCAGCATCCAACACCTAGAGTTTCTCATCTGTATGCTCCGGCTCAAACAGGTATGGCTCTGGATCTGTGTCCGCTACAAGAAACTCTTCAAAATTGCGTTCAAAGTCATCCATTGCAACTACTATAGTCCGGAGATATCGTTAGGCTAAACAAACAACTGAGTTTTGTTTACAGGCTACGTCTGTGCCTGTGCTTGCTCACCGGTGTATCCCACCGCGGGTCACAGCGCAGGGCATGAACACACTATAGTTCCGTGCATCAAACTTCTTCTAAAACGACTAAAAAGGACTCTCATTTTTTCGAATTAATATTTAAACATGTTTATTTTAAATGCACGTGTAGAAATGCCAGCTTCAGGGTTTCTGTAACGTTTATTTGTTCACTTTTACCGAGTAGGCTACTGACCCCCTATAGACTTCAATTGTATTCGCTAAGCTAAGCCGCAATGCTAACCGCTGAGACCCAGCCACTGGACGTACAGACACAAAAAAGATATTGATCATGTTGTCTCACTATGAAAATGATAGAGAAAGGGCATAACTCCCAAATCGTCGGAGTATTCCTTTAAGGTCCATTCTGAATGGACCATGACCCACCAGTTGGGAACCACTGCCCTAAACCCAGCTTGACAACCACTATATTTAAATAGACCTACAGCAGCATCTGTATCTTCACACGCTCTGATTCTACACTCATGGTCACAATCAAACATTTTGTCCCCGGAGTCCACGTCAAGAGATCAGAGGCATGAAATTAGCCAAAACAATGTTCCGATTTTTGCACTGACCACGACAAAGGAAGAAGAGGAAGACAACAGATGCTATAAATTATCCTCAGTATCAGCTCCATATGAATGCGTGTTTTTGGAGTGTCAGGACAGATGCTGCATGTTTGCATGACAGCTAAGTGTTTTCATGAGCTGGAGTTTTGTGTGATTCCAGATGTAAATTAAGCTGTTTTCTCACTAGTAGAAGCCGCAACCAGAGAAAGAAATGTTAATTTATCTGTGAATGTTGACACATGAGTGCTGGGTGGTTCTGTTGTATCCAAGACATTAAACGACATTAAAAATACATAATAAACTAAATTTGGATGTTTAAAGTATTTTAGGTCTATTTTTCCACTCTGGTAATTATTGAATTATTCAGTTAAAAAATAAAGAGTTTGAATTAAGTCTTCCCAGAAAATTGGAGGCAGTGACAGCAGAATATTAATGTCCATGACTTGCAAATGAAAGTGACAACAGGTGCAATGGAGAGGCAAGAGCAACACAACCTCCAAAAAGAGAATGGTTTTACATGTGGTGGTCACAGACAGTTGCTCTCTCCTTATCCTTCCTGACTGATTCTTCTCTAGTTGTGTGTTCTGCTAGTGTCCTTGTCACTACTGGTAGCATGAGGCGGTACCTGCAGCCCAATCGGGGTGCACAGGTAGTCCAGCTCCTCCAGGATGGCTCATCCATACATTTAGTCGCAAGATTGTTGTGTCTCCCAGCAGAAGTCTCAAGAGCATGGAGGAGACACCAGGAGACAGGCTGTTACATGAGGAGAACTGGACAGGGCTGTACAAGGGCATCAACCCAGCAGCAGGACCAGTATCTGCTCCTTTGTGTGAGGAGGAACAGGAGGAGCACTGCCAGAGCCCTACAAAATGACCTCCAGCAGGCTACTGGTGTGCATGTTTCTGACCACACTGTCAGAAACAGACTCCATAAGGGCCCGACGTCCTCTAGTAGGACCTGTGTTCACAGCCCAGCACCATGCAGCTTGAGTGGCATCCACCAGAGAACAGCAGGTCTGCCATTGGCGCCAGGTGTGAACAAGTCTGGCGATGCTATGGTGAACATTATGCTGCCTGTAACATACTCCAGCATGACCGGTTTAGCGATGGGTCATTGATGGTCTGGGGGGGGAGGCATATCCTTGGAGGGTTGCACAGACCTCCATTTCATACCCAACAGTACCCTGACTGCTGTTAGGTACCGGGATGAAATCCTCAGTCTGATTGTCAGACCTTACACTGGTGCAGAGGGCCCTGGGTTCCTCTTGGTGCAGGACAATGCCCAGCCTCATGTGGCCTGAGTATGTAGGCAGTTCCTGGATGCTGAAGGCATTGATGCCATTGACTGGTGCTCTTGTTCCCCTGACCTAAATCCAATTGAGCAGCTATGGGACGTTATGTATTTGTGCATTCAACGCCGCCAAGTACCGCCACAGACTGTCCAGGAGCTCACTGATGCCCTGATCCAGGTCTGGGAGGAGATCCCCCAGGAAGCAATTCGTCACTGCTGAGTCACATTTGAGTTGATGTGATCAAATTCACACAAGTTGGATCAGCCTGTGATTTCAGTTTTTTACTTTGATTTTCGGTGAGATTTTGAATCCAGCCCTTAATGAGTTGATGATTTTGGTTTCTACTGACCATTGTTAGGTCATTTAGTTCTCAACAAATTATACAATGCACATCAGTAAAGATTTTCAACTTGAATATTTTGTTCATCAGGATCTGATGTGTAAATTCACTGTTCCCTTTTTTTTTAAACTATGAGTTCTGTTATTCATGAATGTGACTCTAAACAATTTGGAAATTGTAATTGTGTTGTGCTTTTTGTTGTCTACATGGTCATTATACAAAAGAACAACATGTAGTATCTTCAAAGTACATTTTAGGTGTAATATTCCAAACAAGTACATTTCTACAAACCACAGATTTGTTGCATTTGTTCGTTGTTATGTCAGATAGTGGTTAACGGATGGTTAGGTTAGGTCACAAAAACCACTTGGTTATAGTGAGGATAAGATCATGTTTTGGCTTAAAATGCCCAGTTCTGGGGGCAGAGTTACCGCAAGTAATGGAGCAATGTCACTTTAAATTAACAATTGTTTTTTGTGGCACTATTCACAGGGCAAAAACAACAACAGGGTGCTTAAAAACAACCATGTTATGAGGCTAGAAAGCCGCTGGCAACATGACACGCTAAAACACAAACGGTTTTGTTGTTGGTCTCAACAGAGGTCTGTAGTTTGATTGAAACCACTTTTTAAAATTTAATTTTTATGTGTTTTATTGTTGTTTACATTGTCAGTATAAATACATATTATGTGCCATGTGTGAGCTAAACATCTGGCTGCATGTTATGATGATTTTTTTGAGTATGAATCCTCTGCAAGCTGCATGAATGATCCATGTAATGACATAACAGAGAGGAGATGACTTACACAACATGCTCTTGTTTTTGTGTTTGAATCATTATGTTAAATTATGCATTTGTTCCTCACTTGATCCGGACATTAAGCATCCTCCTCTCTTTGACTCTGGCTGTTTCTCTCTGGTCTGACCAGAGAGTAACCCATCCTTATTCTATAAAACGCACCACAACATGTGCCGGCATGAGCCCACAAACATGAGCTCATTTCCCTTCAGGGGAACAACGGATTGGGAGAAAGAGGGAGAAAGCAATAGTCCCAGTCTTCCCATCCATGTCCAGTTATCATCGGACCACATTCCTGCTCCTCTTTCTCATAATGAAACGGTTATCCCTTCACACAATGAGAGGACCGGGCTGGAGACATCTGCAGTATGTGGAGGAGATTTAACAAAAATGGGATCATGAGAGCTGAGGTCAAGGTCAACGTCATCGTCTGAATGAGTGAAATTCTTTTGGATGAGCCCCAAACATTAAGAGAGAACAGACACACGATGAAGCACTCTATCATATACATTCTCCAAAGCCAAGAAATCCCTGAAACACTGAATTCCTACCTGGCACAAGCATAACAATCATCAAGAGTATTGGCATACTCTAAGAATTACAGCAGGTCAGATTTAGTGGGAAATCTGAAACACAACAGGAAGATTTTTTTGTCATCAGTGAAGACAGGAAACAATGCTGATTATTGGAAATGTGGCCTTCAGTCACTTAATTGCTGGCAGTATCATTGGTGTATATCTTTGGAGATAGTATACGGTTCCTATTTCCCCTGAAAGATTGTAGTTTGTTATTGTTTGTTTGTTATTTTATCGTGTGGCACCACACTGGGTGCCACTCCTGTCAGCAAAGAACAGGAATATTAAAAACGTTGCCTGGTCTGATGAGTCTGGATTTCTGCTGCAACATTCAGATGGTAGGGTCAGAATTTGGTGTAAACAACATGAAAGCATGGATCCATCCTGCCTTGTATCAACGGTTCAGGCTGATGGTGGTGGTGTAATGGTGTGGGGGATATTTTCTTGGCACACTTTGGGCCCCTTAGTACCAACTGAGCATGGTTTAAACACCACAGCCTGCCTGAGTATTGTTGCTGACTGTGTCCACTTTATGACCACAGTGTACCCATCTTCTGATGGCTACTTCCAGCAGGATAACGCACCATGTCACAAAGCTCAAATCATCTCAAACTGGTTTCTTGAACATGACAATGAGTTCACTGTACTCCAATGGCCTCCACAGTCACCAGATCTCAATCCTATAGAGCACCTTTGGGATGTGGTGGAACGGGAGATTCACATCATGGATGTGCAGCCGACAAATCTGCAGCAACTGTGTGATGCTATCATGTCAATATGGACCAAAATCTCTGAGGAATGTTTCCAGCACCTTGTTGAATCTATGACACCAAGAATTAAGGCAGTCCTGAAGACAAAAGGGGGTCCAACCTGGTACTAGCAAGGTGAACCTAATAAAGTGGCTGGTGAGTGTATAATCATGGATGAGAATGAAACAAACTTGCAACTCCCTACCATAATAATTTTATGACGTGACTGACCTCAGCTGGTGAAAAGCTGTATTACAACTGTAACTATTTAAAAATCCCGTTGATGTCTTTGTGGGATAAAGCTGTGCCCTCGTTATAATCACAGTGTAACATTTATACAATATAAAGTATTTTGAAACAAATAAAACTAGCGTGTGATTTGCCACAGTGCCGTTTAGCTAAAACTGTTCTATTTCCAACCGCAAACGGCATGCGTTCAGTTTGTCCTTCTGTGGGACCCGTACAGCCTGGAGCGATGGAAGCAGCCGTTTGAATGTTCGGCGCGTTTTAACTGTAGCGGTTGTGTTAACTTGTGACAGAGAAAGAAAGCGCAGGTAACAAAACATTTATTAGCTAAATTATTATGTTTTCTGCCTCAAAACACAATTTACTGTCGCCATGTTTGTATAAGTAACTTGTCGAATGATATAGTGTCGTCGTTAACTTTGCAGTTGACGCTAACGTTACTTTTAGCTTTATTTATGTTAGGTTTGGTCGCTAATATGTCTCCGTCATGGGTTAGTTGTTCACTAAATTGTGTGATAGTGTTGAAAAACAAGTAACTTCCAAGTCAGTGTCGTTTTGTTTTTACGTTTACAGCTGCCAAGCACCGATACAATTCTCCATTTACAACGCCATTAGTGACGTGCTAATGTCAGCCTCCATTCAAAATTTGGCCTTTATTGTCGTGTTATGTCGTCGTAGACAAAGACAGCTGTATACATAGTAAACGAATCAGATATTTCATAATATATTTCGGTGCAAGTTTGTATCATGTAGTGTTACATCAAATAATTTTTACTTACGTTCCCTGTTGCATTTTCCTTGGTCAGCTACTGCATTAACAAACACACTAAAGGAAATACACTTGGACCCATTTAAAACGTTTGTAGTGTCGAGTTAGAGGAGGTCCCATAATGTAGTTTACCTGTATCCTCTAATGTTACTCAGCATAATGTCATGCCTTTGATTCATTTGCTGTATCCAAATATGCTTTCTCTTGTTAATCATTTTATTGTTTGTTTTCCTTGGACAGGATGGCCTCCCTTGCCACACTCAGCGATGAGGGCTCATTCAAGACCCCTAAAAATGTCAGAGTGAAGAGCTTTGTAAGCAACGGAGGGACCCCAATCACCATCCCAGCCTCACCTTTCATGAAGAAGTTGGGCTGTGGGACTGGAGTCAATGTTTACCTTATGAACAGGTATGTGATGTTGTCTGATTTAAAGGTACAGTGTGTAGGGTTTAAGGGGATATACTGGCAGAAATGGAATATAACATGTGTATGTTTTCTGTGGTGTATAGTTACCTGAAAATAAGAATCGTACTTTCGTTACCTAAAAAGGGACATTTATATCTACATAGGGAGTGGGTCCTTGTCTGCAGAGATTACCATGTTGCACCGCCACGACAAACCAAACACTAGCTCTAGATAGGGCCTCTTGCGTTTTTGTGTCGGCCACCTTAGTTAGCAGCTTCTCCTCGATGAGAGCATTGGAGAAACCCACTGAGAAACGTCTCTATCCAGTGTTTTTACTGGGTTAAAACACCAGGTCTGTTTGATTTTGGAGAGGAAGAGACCTCTGCAAATAATTCAGCTCATGGTAAAAAACCTCTTGAACTTCTGGAACTTAAGCTGTCAGAGAAAAAGGGTGAGCTTGCATTAGCAGTGCTGGGCTAGTGGCCCATCTCCAACATGTGTCAGAGACACATTGATTTGTAACATGAAACTGTTATTCGGTGTTTTTACTAGTTTTAGTCATCAGGTCCGTTTGTTTTGAGGAGGAGGACATCTCTGTGGATAATTTAGCTCCTGGCAAAAAAAAAACAACTGAGCAATGAACACTGAAGGAATTCTGACTAGGAGTTCATATTTGGCACACAGAAGTTTCAGCTGGTTGCAGTCTGTAGTCCTCACTGCTAGATGCCACTTAATCACCACAAATCTTAGACACTGTTCATTTTAAAATATAAATGATTAAATACTTGGTTCACCTACCATCTGTCTCCTCCTTTTTCCTCTTTCCTCTCCCTCTACACTTGTTTCAACACTTCTGTGCCGTATTCATGCCAGTTAAAATGATATAAAAGCATAAGTTAAATTTCTGAAAGGGTCTGTTTCCGTTCAACATTTTACCAAAAGGCCCTTCATTTAAAAAACATTTTGACCTTCATCTCTCTTGTGTATTTCATTGAAAGAATAAGCAGACAGCTTCTGAAAGAAGAGACGCTAATCATTTATTTTTTAATCATTTTGTCATGATGGATGGTGTTTGTGCTTTTAATTAGCAAGGCCACATTAAATTGCCAAATGTGTGCATGGAGTTTCATGCATTAGAATACAAATTATTTGAGTTGAAATAGCTTCACCATGACCTTTCATATCCATCTTCAGTATAAATTGTTAAACAGTGATGTTTTCCAGGCTTCCGTCATGTGAATGTTTTCATGTCTGTGTATAAATATTATGTTTTGCTGATTAAATTAATCCTAGACAGGGGAAGTTGAATGCATCCCCCTGGGCTGTCAAGAAGATCAACAGCAAGTGTGCAGCCAAACAGGTGGCGGTTTACCAGAAGCGCCTGAACGAGGAGGCAAAGTTCCTGAAGGGAATCAATCACCCAAACATTGTTGGTAAGACATGACAGCACTCTCACAGCACATTCACGCTGATGTAGTACTTTTACAGTGGCGAGTATAACAGACCCAGTGTTATGTTCTTCAGAAGAGCAGTCCCTCTTTGTGTCTCTAGAATCAATGTGAACCACAGGAACACTTTTGATACTTTTACACTTCACATACAAACTGCAGAGTCACAGCTGATGATTATGTTGATAAATGCCTTGCAATATTACCCCAAGGGAACAGCAACAAAACTCAGTTACATAATTCACCATCATTTTCTTTTACATCTGTTTTCTAAATTTTGAAACCTTCAGAAAATAATAACCCAAACAATTATTGTCTTGCTGGTCACTTGCTTAAGATTCAGTTTGAGTTGAGTTCATTTTCAGTGTTGACTGACTCGACAAGAATGGAATAAATTACTCATTTACACTGACTTTATTTTGTGCTGTCGTAATCAACATAATTGTAATATTGTGTTACATTCTGGTTTGTTAATTCTGTATCCTTATCCCACCATCAAGGGTTTCGTGCGTTCACCACGGCCAAAGATGGATCAAAGTGTCTGGCGATGGAGTACGGAGGAGAGCAGTCCCTCAATGACCTGATAGAGAAGAGGAGAGAGGACGGCCTGAAAGCTTTCCCTGCTGCCAACATAGAGAAAGTGGCTCTGCATGTTGCTCGTGGCCTTCAGGTAACTCACAGACTCTTTTCTACCTGGTGTAATATAGCTGGATCAGTTACAGCTGGATTAACTTCACGCCTGTGTCTCTGTATATCCATGAAATTTGATCTCCCATGACACACTGTACACATCAGTCACTCTTTCAAAGTTATGTCTTGTCTTTTGAAATGTGTAGTTGACACCTCTGTCTGCTCGTCAGTCATCCAGTATCCTGACATTCATTTTATGACCAAAGTGTTGCTATCTAACCTGCCTGCAGTGGTTGAAGATTTACTCAGATCCTTTATTTAAAGGGATAGTAAAGATTTTTGAAGTGGGATTGTTACCCATGGTCAGTGTATTACAAACAATTGAGGATGGTCAGCACGCCCCTAGTTTGGAGAAGCAGGCGGGAGTACCAAAACAGAAGCTAAGCAATGTTTTGCTGTGGATGGGGGTTAGTAACAAAATGTCATTACACTACCTAGAAAAAGTCCAACCCAAGAAAATCAGTTTAAGGCCATGTCCACACGGAGACGAGATTAGGTGTATCCGCAATGGGTTTTTTTTTAACGTATAGACCTTTTGTAAACACGGAACCAGCGTTTTAGGAGCCCAAATACACCAACTTTTGAAACCGGGTCCCAGAATGAAAAAATCTGAAGATGCCACCTTCGCGTTTCCATATTTACAACACAGTACGCCTCTTTCCTGAAACGATGACGCCATAACCCCACTTCTCCCTTAACTCGCATGTGCTAGTCAACATTCCCCTGCAGTTTTGTAATCAAGTGTGACCCTAAGTAACAGCTCTACCTCGTCATCAGTCCATACAAAGTGGACTGCTCTGGCATTTGTATTTTCCGCCATTTTCTTCTTTGTGTTCGTTTATTGTTTTATGCGCATGCTCCATTTCTTATTCTCTGTTTTTGGTGTACTTTGTGGCAGCGTTGCAGTGCCACTTACAGGCCTTGCATATATACTACAGCGTTTTCAGTGGCTTCATGTTTACTTACACATATCTTGAGACGATTCCGTGTTTATGGAAAACTTTGAAAAAACGAAATTGGTTCCGTCTTCGTGTGGATATAATATAAGTGTATGCTATTTTACTTTGTTGTCAGACAGCCCAGAACTGAAGATGTTATATCGCTCTCTTCAGAGCCACCAGACTCCATTGGCAAAAACAGTCATTTTACCTTGCTGAACACAGGAGCTGCTGGTCTACTGCTGCATCTATCTGTAATTTGTTTATGTTACTGTGTGACTATGATGAATCCAAACTAACTCTTTAAAACATCAAAGTCACAAGATCACACAAACAAACAGCAGACTGAGGCAGTGGTAGACCAACAGCTTCCATGTTCAGCACGGTAAAATTACTGGTGGCCTTGAAGAGAGCACAGATAACTTTCACTTCAGTTCCCAGTCAGAAAGAGCTATCTGGCAGCAAGGTAAAGAAGTGAAAATATTCCAAATATATCATATACTTAGTGACACTGTTTTTATTTTAGGTGGCTAAAATACATTTTTTTGTTGACCCTGTCAACAACATGGACCGTTGACCTTGTCAACAACAGTATATTGCTTAGCTTCCATGTCAGACTCCTGCCCGCTTCTCCAAACTGAGGGGGCTCTGACCATTAATTACTATAGGCAATACACTGACAATAGATAAGTACTTCATACGACCCCACTTCAAAAAATACAAACTAGTAAAGTAAAAGAAGAAGAAGTACCACACTGAAAAAAAATACTGTTATAAGTAAAAGTCCTTTATTCAAACAGTATTAGCATCAAAATATACTTAAAGTAAAAAAGTAAAACTACTCATTATGCATAATAGCAAATTTCAGAAAAATCTACATATATATTAATGAAATATAATTACTGATACTCTAGTGCGTACATCACTTTAAAGTTGCAGCTGGTGAAAGTAGTGGAGCTTGTTTTTTACTTCACACTGCCCGGTAGCTTGTGAGTTTCATAGTAATACTTCATACTTCCATAGTAATATAATAATATGAGTCCATGTGTGAATATGTATTTGTGTGTAGTTAGGGGTTACCTGAAGGGTGTGGACCTAACAATTAAAAGAAAAAACAAGTTACAGCTCTGACTTTGAGCTTATATTTAAATGAAACACACAAAAAGCACATTTTATTTTATTTTCTGACCTCTATTTATGCTTTGGCATTAATTGGTTGAGTCACATGTCAAGAAAAAGAATATGATTTTAATAAAATATCCATGGGAAACCATAGTCAAAACCCACTCACAGCGCCAGTGGTTCATTCTTTCCCAAATCATATTTGTCTCCTCTCAACATCAGCCATCTTTTAATTTAATTTCAGAAATGAGGATTGTTTAACAAAGCAAAATAAACACAGAAGGACGTTGTTAAGCCTTTGTTTGTTTCTCCCTACAGTATCTCCACAATGAGAAGAAGCTGCTGCACGGCGACATGAAGTCATGTAATGTTGTCATCAAAGGAGACTTTGAGACCGTCAAGATCTGCGATGTCGGTGTGTCTCTGCAGCTGGACGAGAACATGAGAGGTAACGACTGTCTTCATGTCATTTATGATAAAAATCAGCCAAGAAGCCTTGATGAGAAAATGCAGCATTGTACTCTGTGTGATGGGTGGGGGCAGGGATGGTTGGAGCACAGAAAGCCTCCCACAGTGCTCAGTTTATACACAACAGCTTATTAACAATAAACTGTGGCTCGTACTGTAGGTCCTCGAAAGAGTTTCAGTTGCAGACATACATCGGTGAACAGGAGTAATATGGCTCTTGATTTTGTTCCTGTGTCTACATTTTCAGGTCACACAGTCTTATTTTTAAAACACTATCAGTTAACTGGTAATATCTTGAGCAGTAGAAAAATTATTAGTCAGTTTTGAGCCTTTAATAGTAGATTTAAAGCCTTTTTTTTCCAACAGTATGATGCAAAAATGTGGAAATACAGAAAATCTGCATGCAAATTTTTTCACATGACAACTACACACACCAGGTCCAGTGTGAATTATCCACATCGCTGTGTTCCATTTTTGTTAAGAAAAAGAAAAAAGTTTCCTCCTAAATCGTGCTGCCACACAACAGCAACCTATAATTCCAGACAGAGAATGTTATCTTGAAAACAAATGTCCATTGCTCTGAAATCCCATCTCTGCAAAAAATACACTCTCCCAGCAGGTACAAAGATTCATGGCCTGCAGATACTCCACTCACTAACTTACCAAATACACCACTCAGCTGCTCCAACCATCAAACCTCCGATCTGACAAACAGTCACCTGTCCTGTTCTGCATGAAACACTAAATTATGCCAACCATGGCAGAAGGATTGTCTGATTGGCAACCTGTGAAACGGCTTTTAGAGTAGGGATGCACAATATTGGATTTTTTTTTGCTGATATCTGATATGCCGATATGTAACAAATTATTTGGGGATAACAATATTGATATATCCACTTTTTTCCCCGCCTAATTGTAGTGATCATCAAGTCTCTTCTGTAGTGGAATTAACATCTTATTTTGCGTGCATACTCTTATCATGATGGCCCACCAGCAGCTGGAGACTGAGACTGGAGAATTGAGTGCTTTTTGTGTGTAACATTAATTCATTGTGCAAAATAAGAAAAAGCAAGTTAATTTCAAAGCCAGTATTGGCCAATACCGATGATGTACTGAAATTATCGTGCATCCCTATTTTTGAGACATCAGCCATCTTAAACAGCAACATCTTGAAGATAAAGGTTAAAAAATGGTTCAGTGGTTTTCTGAAACAGCAGTGCATTTGTATAAGTGCTGTGTGAATGTTTTCAGCCGTGTAATAATAATTTACAGCAGTAGGAAGTCTCAAAATAAACTAACCCAACATGTCACCCTGTGTGATGTTATTACTGGATCATTAATGTGTTTTTAATAGTTATTGGGAAACAATTGTGGTCGATGAAACAGAGAAGAAGAAGTTACTGATTATCAGGCTTTGGATACACAAACAATACTAGTTATTTTCAGTTCAGTTCAGTTCAGTATGTGTGCGTGTTTGTGTACAAGTGGGATTAATCATGGATTAAAGCACAGAATTGGCAGAAAACATTTGGGTGGAAACGACTGTTTACAGCAGCTGATTAACTTTGTTCCTGTGCCCATACAGAAACATTAAGTCGTCAGTCTCTCATGCTTTAACTCTTCTCATACATACATGTCATTAGCCAGTGGAGGTGTCTTCTATTTTGAGTTTAACTTAAACTAATTGCAAACCTCTGGATCTTGCTTCGTTGATGTGATTGTAAAATGGCCCAGAAAAACATGAGCTTCTTGTTTTAACAGACAAATTGAATGTTTTGCTTTGTAATTAAATTGTCATCTAGTCCGATTAGGCTTTAATTAATGTTTTTTCATCTGTGTGCTCAGTGTCAGACCCAAAGGCAGAGTACATCGGTACAGAGCCGTGGAAACCCAAGGAAGCTCTGGACGAGGGCGGAGAGATCACCGACAAGGCCGACATCTTCGCCTACGGTCTGACTCTGTGGGAGATGATGACGCTTGCCATGCCTCATCTGGAGATGCTGGAGGATGAGGACGAGGAAGAGGAGGATGAAGGTGAGCCACTCACAGACCTCAGGAAGCCCTGAATTTTGCACTTGTCCACATCAGTCAGCTGAATTGTGTTCTTATTCTACGGATCAGTTACAGTTTTGTCACAGTTTCAATGTAATTTTCAGTTTCTTCAGGAGCCATGTTCCTACTGCAGTTCAGTGTAACAAATGCTTTAAAGCTGTACTTGCATGTGGTGTTTTTATGGCATACTAAACTGTGACATTTTAATGACTTTTTATGACATATTCAACAATCACATTTTTGGATTTTATTTCATGACTTCTCTTTTTAATGACAATAGATATATATATATGATATATATGATGACATTTGTGGCTTGTTTTTATTTTTGTTTTTTGGCATACTAAACAATGAGTTTTTTTATGACACATGAGAGTATTACTTTTTTGTCATTTTATATGACATAATGACCTTTATAAAATCCTGTCCTATGACTTTTTGTGGCATACTATACTATGACTTTTTTTGTTTATGACCAATGATTTTTTTCATGACATACTAGTTTTCCATCATTTACATACTATATTATGGCACTTTTTCTGCCATGCTATGACTTTTTTATGACATACTGTACTATGACTTTTTTTGGCATACTATAGTATGACTTTTTTATGACATACTATTCTATGACTTTTTATGACATACTATAGTATGACATCGTATAGTATGTCATAAAAAAGTCATAGTATAGTATGTCAAAAGACATCATAGCACAGTATGTCACACAATTCATAGTATAGTATGTCAAAAAGTCATAGCACAGTATGTTATAAAGTCATAGTATAGTATGCCAAAAGAAATCATAGTATAGTTTGTCAAAAAAGTCCTCTCATAGTATGTCAAAAAAGTCATAGTAGTGTCATAAAGTCATAGTATGTCAAAAAGTCATAGTATGTCAAAAAGTCATACTATAGTATGTCCAAAAAGTCCTCTTATAGTATGTCATGAAAAAGGCATAGTATAGTGAAAAAAAAGTCAAAGTACTGCAGTCATTAAAAAAAAGTCATACCATTTGTTGTAAAAAAGTCACAGTATGTCCTATACTAAATACGTACCATACCATCACTTTTGACACTCTTTGTCGCATGCCATAAAAAAAGGCCATGAAATAGTTTGTCATAAACAATGCCATAAAAAGTCTTAATATATTGTGTTATAGATGTGACATTATGTCATAAACTAGGGAAAAATAATCATAGCATGCCATGAAATGTCATCCAAAAAAAAAAAAGACCAGTATAACAGTGTGTGTTAAAATTTTGCAATTGTATTACAGAGGACTCAATGGAGGTGAGCTTTGATGAGGACGCCTACTACGAGAGGTTGGGCACGAGGCCAGCGCTGGATGTCGATGCACTGGGCAGCTCATACCAGAGGATGGTGGAGCTTTTCTGTCTCTGTACAGAGGAACACCCAAGGAAGAGACCCTCAGCTGCCCAGATCGTCCAAGCTTTAGAGAGCAATGCCCCACTGGATAAAATGCCCAGTGAGGTGATTGTTATTGATTGATTTACACAGATTATTTAGCTTTTTGTGGTCAGGGATTTGTATCAGAGATTGCAGACTAGGATAAAACGACAGAGGATTCAGGGCTATTTTTTGTTTTAGTAATTTAGAAGCTCCAGGAAGAGTTAACGTGGAGACCAATCTAGCTTCAGCGTAAAAACATGTCAGTCACTGGTTAAAGTATCAGCTAACTGACATGAATGACTTACAAAAACTCTTGTTGTCTCTGTACTATTCATGTTCATCTGTTGACCCTTTAAATAGCACATTAGTCTGTCGTTTGTTTGTCTCATCTTTGCTCCATGTACGTCAACTTTTACTGTAAATGTTTTTACTTTCTGTACCTCTCAATTCTTGACAGTTTCATGTGTTTCAGCACTTCTGTAAACTTATTTTTCTTGAGCTGTCCTGGGTTTTTGTTTTCTGTTCATTATTGTACTGCAGCTCTAGTTGGTTTTAAAAATAAAAAACATGCATACCAGTTGCTTTTAAATCTGAAATTTAAGTTTTTTAAATTATTATTGTATTAAAAGCTTTAAAGCAAATTAGTTCATGCATTGCTGAGGCCTGTGATGATCAAGTCATGTTAGGTTTTATTGTTTGACCTTTACCATTTGACTGAAAGCTATCTTTCTAATAACATGTTTGCAACTACAGTGTATTGTACAGTTACACCACTGACAGTCCCTCCCCTTTAAGAAAATTAAACGTTAGCATACAATCAGTACAGAAAACATTTTCAAGAAATGCCTTTATGATCGTTAAACAAAAGGCAATGTTTATTAACTGTATTTACAACGTAAAATGCCTCTAAACAATAACGGCATCCACCTTTCAACAGGTCTATCAATATATTTTCCTTCAAAAAACATCCAGAAAACCTCAAACTAGTAGCGTAAAAAAAAGGTTGAATATGAAATGTACGTGTCAAAGTTTTCTGCAGTGCAAAAATTGGAAAACATCTTCATTCTCTGCAGTGTCACGCTCCTCATTAAGCTGAATATAAACATCTGAATAGAAGCGCTGCCAGTATACACAACATTCAACAGTTAACGAGGCAGTACCAAATATAAATACTGAGCGATCACAGAACTTTAAAAACTATTGCATCCTGAACACAGAATACAACTGAGGCTTCGATGCACACACACTTCACAAACTAAAGCCTAGTCAGCATTAAAAACCTGAACTGTTACTGCTTTGCATATGAACGGCAATTAAAGAATTGCCTGAAGAGCTGTTAACGTAATACAATTCAACGGTCAGTTAAAACATCTTTAATCCATGTATTTACTTAATGCGATGAAGTTGTAAACCAGGAAGGCTGGTGTGTTGGAGTACTTTGTCGCAAACAGTTTGCCGTCAGGTGTTGGGTCAGAGAAGGCGATTTCTTCCACGGTTAGATGGCTGCCGTATGAGAAGGTGCTCCTACAAAAACAAAAGATATTTAAGGCAGAGGGAAGAGGAATATTTGCTCCAACTCTTCTAAGATGTTTCTTCGGAAGTCTAGACTGTTATGTAGGAATTCAACAACATATAGCTCTGCTGTGTTAGCCACCACTACCTGACAGACCTCACCAGTGCAAGTTTGGGAATTGACTGCACTGCTTAAAATTGGAGGTAAAGAAGTTTGTATCTGGACAAGCCACACGAAGGTGAAATTTATGCTTAATTCAAAGTCTTTTCAAACAGTCTGGTTTGCTTTTAAAAGGAAAAAGGACTAACTTGGTAACAAATTTACATCAGCCACACATCCCCACCTCCAATAAAGAACACACATTAATATGAAAGAAAAAAAAAAAGTGTTAATGTTTCTTGTTGTGGCCATTCTTAACATTAGTTGTAAATGGCTAAAGGCACAACACGTAGAAGAAGAAGCTGAGCGTGTGACACATCGTACCTGACAGTGTCAAGCATGCGTGATGCGATGCCCTGTCGTCTGGCCGGACCGAAGACCCAGATCCTGCTGATGCCGCACAGAGCTTTTTCTGGGACGGTGGAGCAGCACCAGGCCCGGTGTCGCTCCATGAAGTCGTCCTTTGTCATGTCTTTGTGTTGATCCGGCTGCTCGAGGACTCTGTAAGCCTGACAGGACAAAGAGCGGAACATCGTCAGCACAGGGCACTAAACGGGTTAAGTTGACTGCAAGCGAACTGAGAATTCATGAGTGTTTTATTTCCAAATTAAAATGGGATATATATATATATATATATATATAAAAAATACTGCATATCAAGGCCTTTTCTGACAGATTGCTTTAGTGTCTTTGTGCATCTTCACACATTTCTGTTACACAAACTCTTGGGTTGTTCATACACATAACATTTCTTAATGTGACGTTTTTTCTCCTTGCCAAAAACTATGATTTATTCTCTTTAACACTTTGAAAATATTCATATAAAACAAAGACAGATATCACTATTTGGTTAAACTAGTCGCATGTTATTGGGGTGACGCGGGGATGCAATGTTGTAAGGCACCGAAAAGGTTGGAAACTGATATATGAAGGTCTTAATGGACAACTAACAAAAGAGAATAGACTAGAACCAAATCTCACACACCTACGGATACACGCACACACACATGCACATATAGTTCCAGCCCTACCTGGCGTATGGGTTCAGCGACGAGGCAGCCCACCACCATGCGCTCCCTGTTGATGAAGAGGTAGGTTTTGGCCTGTGTTGGTCTGCTCAGAGTCACTTGCTGGAAGCCCAACTCGTTGTCTGCTACACGGCGCACGTCCTCAGCCTAAAAACCAAACACACACAGTGAGGAAGAAGGCATGAAAACCAACACGGAGAAACATTTATTCATTCATTGTCTGTAACTGCTTGTCCTGTTCATGGTCCAGAATGTGCTGGAGCCTATCCCAGCTGACTTTGGGCCAGAGGCAGGGTTCACTGAGGACAGGTCACCAGACTATCACAGGGCTGACACATCAAAAGTATAGGGGGGCAATAGTCTGGACGCAAGTATGATTTTCCTCACTCAACCAGACCTGGAAATGACTAAAATCAAATTCCATACTGCATACAAAGAAAGCAGCCAGAAAGCAGCTAAAGTTCAAACCCTTACCTTCTTAACAGCGTATTTGGGATCATCTGGCATGACCATGAGGATTTTTCCATCCCAGAACTCGGCCACCACCCGCTCCTTCTTCCAGCCCTGGAAGCACAACAGAGGGAAGAAGAAGCTGCAGTGACAAGCCAACAACTCAGAACAAACTCACCTCCCCATGAAGCAAACTGGTGCCAACAGCGTTTGGCAGAGGATCACCGCTAAATACCAAACTACTTCAAATAAAAACACTTAAATCATTTCAGTGGTAAAAAGGAAAAAAACTGAGGGGACAATAAATACTGCAAGTTAATAAAACAAAAGACATGACAGTGCTGTGAAATCACTGATTTATCATCTGTGCACTTCCTCTACATGTCAGTGTCTCCATACTGGAGTCCACAGAGAGACCGAAGGAAACAACTTTTACCACAAATTTGATGGAGTCAAGGAAGCGCTGATGGAACTGGGTGTGTTGGAAATTGTCCTCTGGGTTGTCTGCGCTGTACACCATTCCACATGAGTTGCAGGTCGTCGCTCCAAACTGCTTCTGGCCTGCGTCCTGATCGGGGAAAATACAAAGGAAAGTATAGTCAATGAACACAGGAAGATAAATACACAATAATCCAATAAAAGATGGGATACTGATGCACGGTTTGTAGTTTCCATTGAAATCATAGAATATTGGCATAAATAAATTAAACAGCTTCAATACAAAATATCTGCTCCAGCCTTCAAAAATGTTCTGTGCTATCCCAACATAGTGCTCAACACGGCACACTTAAAGGCATTAATATTGACATACGATGATGAGCTGGTCGTCATCCTGTTTCTCCTTCTTCCTGCGAACAGTTCGCTCTTTGACTGCAGGAGTTGTCTGCAGTGACGCTAACGGGCCAGAGGGGGTGCTGCAGGACACTGGTGGCCGCAGAGCTGCATTCTTTAATCTGCAGGACAGCAAATACCAGAACATACAGCAGTGTCAGAGGGTTAATGCTAAAGCTCATGGTACTGAAGGGCTTTGATGTTGAATTCAAAGTGACAGAAGTTATTTGAACGCACAAGAACTGACACCAAGGGCTTTTTATATTTATCCATATTAAATATCTTATTAGGGCTTCACTCAGGGGAAATAATGAGCGGCATCCTCGCATCAAAGCTATCTTTAAAGCTTCCCGTTCTAAAATGTTAAACTTTTAATTGCTCATCCCTTTCTTCCCGCTGTTTGTCTTAACTGAAGAACAAGGTCACATGGTCAGAACCTCGAAGCTATTTCTCTTTACAGGCTGGAAATACAGTGCCAACCTCTTGTTCTGTGTCATACAATTCGTCTTTAATTGCCTGGAAAATGGGAGGTCAGGCGCTGGGTGCTACTCTTGTGCCTCTTCAACCATAACCAGCACCATATCTTAGCCTACTTGCCAGAAATCCTGACTGCAGAGCTGATCTTCTCACACTCATTTTTTTTTGTGGTATGCATTAGGCCTAATATTGTCTGTGGGACAGATGTAAAGCTCTGGATAGCCCTGCACTGAAATGATCAACTTCTCCTCCATATTTACCACGGACATCTATTAACACAAATCTGATATTTACGGAAGAAGGTAAAGATGTCAGCTAGCTGTGATTGGTTGTTCCTTTTTACATGCAGTGCTGTGTTCCTACAACTGAACGCAACCATTCAGCCCTGAAAAGTAGGCACACAGGTATGTTTGCACATTGCAACACCATTGCTCTAGCTTTTTAGCGCGCTTTCCGTGCTTTTAGGTTGGAAACAATACATTTGAGGGAGCTAAAAATGCAGAATGTGTACGGGCCCTTAAAGGACTGTCTCACCTCTTGGAGGCAGAGCCAAAGATGGGATACACCGCTGCAGATTCTGTGGAGAAAACAAAAAATATTAAATAAAGCTTTCATGAACAAAACAGAGTGAGTGGATGCAATAAAGCTGCTGAAGTCTCTGTGACTTGTTAGAGTTTAGGTGGAGTGAAATCAGCCAAGGATGTTCAACTGTTACCAGCACTGTTATAAACAGTAGGGCTGTACCCAAATATTCGGATATTCAAATATTCTTTTCTATGGGTAGGTATTCATTATGAAAATTTGGTATTGGATATTCGTTTTTTTTTTTTAATTTACTTTTTTTTTTTAAACACATTTTTTTGGTGCTAAATGTAGTCTTTTTTTGTCGGTAAATGTGGGTTATCAATAAAAATCAAAACTTTTAAATTGCATTGTTAAAAATGTGAAAATATAGTATCGCCTACCAACGGAGCTTGTGCACGGCACGCTTGAGCACATCCGTCTGAGGCTGTGGATCAATGCCAAGTTTTACCACTTTATCACTATTCCCTCTAACTTGTAGCTGTTTTTTCGTTATCTTTTGAATTTAATATGAATTATGGAACCGTTTCTGTCAACGTTTGTTTCCCCCGTTTTG